GCGAGAGCAACTGAACCACCAGATGTACAAATACTTGCACTTCATTCTCAAACACTGAGAAATGTAAACAGTCGAAAAACAAATCCCACATTTGATTTATTGAGAATCATTGACAGCCTCTTGCTTAATGAAATGTGCTGTTCAAAAAATAAAATGAATAGTTTCAGTGGTTTGGTAATGAGTATTTCTTTGATAATCGACAACTAATCATTACGAAATGTCTTTAGGGCCATAAATGTATTTATTGATTCAATAACAATCACATCCCACTGCCCAAACAGAATTCGTACTTAAAACCAAGAAGAATTGGCTCAAGCGAAGCGCATTTTCGCTGCTTGAGAATTCAATTAAGATCGATCGAATCGAAACAATGAAATCAGCTTGATTTGCTGGAAGGCCGTCAAGCATGCATGCCAGTTCATTGTTATTCGAAAAAGTGCATATCTTTGGAGAGTTTAATCAGCCGAGCACGTCACTTTTATGATTGCATTTCGTACGAAGCAAGGATTTACAATTGTTTTGGTCTCATCCAGTTTTTATGAGACATCATAAAACCACTTAATTTGGATAGAAGAATTCCATTTGAGCCTTTCAAGCCACAGAGGACAACGCTTATCTCGATATTATTTTGAACTGTTATGGAATTTTGATTATTTGCATTACTTTTTCATTGCTGTAGTCGTTTCTATCTTGCAGATACAAGTAGAAAAATCTTTCATTTTTCAAGAAACTGCAACAAATTTGAAGAGGCTGAACTTGGAAACATAAATGCTGCCTTTTCTACTAGTGCAAGTTGTGAATTGTGAGAGTTGTTGGATAAATGTAACTCGCATTATTTATTGCACAGCTATAAGATGACACCCCTGAATTATTGGTACTGATGAATCATGATGTCGACATGTAACGAATAAGAAATAACATCGATAAACATACCACATGCACCATCGCCAACAATAACGAGTTTCTTTCGTATAGCAGCCATTCTATGAGCGGAGTCCAGGAAGTGAGATCAGGCCGAATGCAGCACTGAAAAACACACAAGTGAACTGCAGAAAATGGATAAAGATAAGAATGGTCGAACGGAAAGAAAATGATCGATATATCGGGATGATTACGACGACACTACAAGTAATTAGATATATCGGGATGATTACGACGACACTACCAAGTCATCACTAATGATAAAATAAGCTTGCTGAAGCATGACCGAAACGAAACCACAAAACTAAGTGC